CTGTACTAAATGGGACAGAATTCAATCAGATCTTGCGACTCCAGTCTGGGTAATCATGACTTGCCATGGGTCGTCATAAGCAGCAGAATTGTACTCCAACACAATCCGTGACCCCATTGCCTGGCATATCCCCAACTCTACCTTTATCTTTAAGACAGGGGATTAATCCTGGTTCAACGAAGAGTGCAGGTGGAGTAGGGAGCAACACTAGGCATATCTTAAAATCCTGGTAACAACCTAGTGAAGCTACAAACCAGGACTACTTGCATGCCTAAGTAATAAGTGATGGCTGGAGCTGAATGATCACACAATCAACGGATCAGATCTAAGCTCTTTAGTCCTGCTACATCCAGTAGTTGCGAATGATAGTGGACAATTAAACAACTCACTGGCGGAGAAGGCTCGACAAATATCCCCATCCTCAATGATGGGGGAGCTGAGCACATTAGTACAAAAGATAAGGCTAAAACATTCACAGCAATCTTCAGCCAGAAGTGCTGAGTACATGATCCATCTCTATCTCCTCCAGAGGTTTCCACTATCACAGATGTCAGTCTTCAGTCAATTCATTTGATTGGACATGATATCAAGAAACAGTTGGAGGCACTGGATACTGCAAAGTCTATATCTCCTGACAACGTTTGGCAATATTACTGAAGACTTATGCTCTAGAATCTTCTGCACCCTCAACTGAGCTGTTCCAATACAGCTACAACACTGGCATCTACCTGATAATGTGAAAAATTGTCCAGGTATGTCTTCTACAGTAGAAACAGGACAAATCCAACCCACCTCATCAGTAACATGATGGAAGGTGTCTTCAACAGTGTTATCAAATAGTATGTACTCAGCAATAACCTGTTCGCTGATGCACAGTTTGGGTTCCACCAGGGCCACTCAGCTCCTGACCTCATTGTAGACTTAGTTCAAACATGGGTAAAATAGCTCAATTCCAGACATGGTAAGAGTGACTGCTCTTGACATCAAGGCCACATTTGGCCAATTGTGGCATCAAGGAATCCCAGCAAAACTGAGTCAGTAGGAATCAATAGAAAACTCTGTAGGTTGGAGTCTTAGCTGTCAAAGGAAGATCGTTGTGATTATTGGAGGTCAGTCATTTCACCTCCAGACATTTCTGTGGGAGTACCTCAGGGTAGTGTCCTAGGGTCAACCATCTTTAGCTGCTTTATCGATGACCTTACCTCCATCATAAGATCAGAAGTGCAGTTGTAAACTGATGATTGTGCAATATTTAGCACTATTCACACTACTGAAGCAGTCCATGTTCAATTGCAGCAAGACCTGGTCAATGTCCAGGCTTGGGCTGAAAAGTGGCAAATAATATTTATGCCACACAAGTGCCAAGCAATGACTGCCTTCAGTAAGGGACAATTTAATCTTGACATTCAATGGCGTTATCATCACTGAATGTCCCACCATCAATATTCTCGGGGTTACCATTAACCATAAACTGAACTGGACTAGCCATATAAATAAAGTATAATTAACATTCACAGTCTTCACAACTGATGTACATCTACAGTTTGAATTGCTGAAATTCTCAGAAGCTTCTTAGACAACAGTTTCCAGAACCATGACCACTTCCAACCAAAAGGACAAGGGTGGCAGATACTTGGGAATGCCACCACCTGCAAGCTCCCATCAAGCCACTCCCCATCCTGCCTTGGAAATATATCACTGTTCCTTCAGTGTTGTTGGTTGAAAATCTTGTAATTCCCCCCCCCTAAATGCATTGTGGGTCTATTTACAACATGTGGACCACAGCAGATCAAGAAGCAGCTTAACTCCACTTCTTCAAAGGCAACTCAGGATGGTCAAAAAATTCCGGACTAGTTAGCAATGCTCACATCCCATGAGAATAAACTAACCATTCAGGCAGATGCACCATTTTGTGTAATAGGGGATCATCCTGTAATTTAGCTGATTGTTCCCTCTCCTGTAGCATTTCTTGCTGGGATGTTATTTGTCCCATGTTCCTGGTATTCTTTGATATCTTGTGCCCTAAGTGCTTGTTGCACATACGTTACTTTGACACTAATCCATGCTGCTAGGTATTGTAGGTTTGGAGTGGAAAAAAAGGAGAGAGGAGTATGGTGCTGGAGTGAAGACCTGATCAAGTTTTACTTGCAAGAGTGATTATGGTTGGTGAATGGGGATCCCAGATCCAGGATTTGCAGTCCTGCACCAGGTAGGCAGAAGCCCAAGTTTTAGTTACGGAAACAAAGTCAGAGCTAGAGGTGGGTGTCTGGTGTCTCTTGCCTAGAGTCTTGCTGCTCATTTCTCATCAAACCCCTGTTCCCATTTTGCGGTGTCCCACTTCTCAGTGATATTACCAGCCAAGTAGCCAGCACTCATTGTGCAGCAAAGGGTGAATAAGAAGAAAGGGATTGCAGTAGGAGAGAAAACTAGCAAGAAAGATTTAAAAAAAAACAAACATACCAAGAGAAAATGAGTTGTTAAAGTGAGCATTGGAGGGTAATATTGAGAATGAATAATGGAGAAATCAGGAAATGGCAGAGAACTTTGAACAAGTTTACTTTATTCCTTCGTAAGATGTGCTGCCACTGGCAAAGCCAGAATTTGTTGCCCAATTCCAATTCCAATTGCAGTTGTATTGACTGACTTACTAGGCCATTTCAGAATCAAGAGTCAGACACATTTACAGTGTGCCTGGAGTCACATGTAGACAAAACTAGATGGCAAATTTCCTTCTCTAAAGGCCTTCAATAAATCAGCCTGGGTTTTGTAACAATTGATAATGGTTTCATGATCACCATCACTGAGACTTGATAATTGAATTTAAATTCAACCAACTGACATGATGGGGTTTGAGCCTGCATTGTGCATTAACTTGGATATCTCATTTTCTAGTCCAGTGACGTTACCACTACACCAATATCTCCCGTTTTCTTTGTCTATTCACAGAAGAGGTTAAAAAAAAGCCTAGCATAATGGAAAAGCAATAGGGTTAGAGTTAGGGTAAGGACCAAAGCGGGGGATAAACTTTAGCAGCCACGATTATCAGAGGGGAAAACACTCTAGAAACCAATGGGACTGAAGGACCTGCTGGACCTAATGGCCTGTGACCTTGGGTTTTAAAAGAAGTGGATGCATTGCATGTAATTTTTCAAAGTCCCTCAGGTTCTGAAAAGAGCACAGCAGATTCGAAAACTTGGATAGTAGCCCAAGTATTCAAGAAAAGGAGAATGATAGAAAGCAAGGAGCTTGGGACCAGTTAGTTTAACGTTTGTCATGTGGAAAATAGAATCCATTTTTAAGATGATAATGGTGGGCCATTTAAAAAGTCATAATACAATCAAGCAAATCTACATGGTTTATGAAAGGGAAACTATGCTTAACAATATTATTGGAGTTCTTTTAAGGATGTAGTAAGCAGGGTGGATAATTAAGAACCAGTAGTTGTAGATTCTGGATTCCAAAAGATGACATTAAAAGGTTGTTACACAAGAGAATAGCTCATGATCTTACAGGTGATACATTAGCATGTTGAGGGCATCAGTTAACTAGCAGGAAGCTAAAAATCAGAATGAATAAATTTTCAGGTTGGCAAAGTAACTAGTGGGGTGTCATAGGGATTTGTGCTGGAGCCTCAATTATATTTGCTGAATAATAATGAAATGGATGAAGGGCCCTGATTGGAATTTTCTGATATTATAAAGATCAGCAGGAAAGCAAGTTATGAGGAAGATACGAAAAATTTCAAAGGAATATCCATAGGTTAAGTAAGTGGACAGAAATTTGGCAGATGACATACTGTATAATGCAGAAAAATGTGAAACTGACCGTTGCCAGGAAGAATAGATGAGCAGAATGTCATTTAAATGGAAAGGAAGCACAGAATGGTGCCATAGAGTGATATGAGTATTCTTGTACAGAATCATGAAATATTCCTACACACAGACAGCAAGTGATTCAGAAGGCACATGGAATATTGGTCTTTCTTGTAATACAAATATAATATAAAAATATGTAAGTCTTCATACAACAGCGAATAGTATTGGTGAGACCACACCAAGAGGAACAATTTTGAGGATATAATGTCTTATGAGGAACAATTGAGGCGGACTCATTGGTATATAAAAGAATGAGAGATGATCTTATTGGAACATGTAAGATTATAAGGAAGACTTGACGAGGTAGATCCTGGGGAATCCAGAACAAGGAGAGTCAGTTTAAAAATAAGTGACTTCCCATTTAAGATAGAAATAAAGGGGAATTTCTGCATTGAGGGTCTTTAGTCTTTGTAATTATCTTCCCTAAACAGTAGTGGAAGGTTGGTCAAAATAAAAGCTGAGTTCAACATAACCAAATCAGCTATGATTTTATTGAATGGCACAGTATGCTTGATAAGCTGATTGCGCTGCTTCTCCCATTTCTAATGTTTTATTGTGACCAGGCTGAATAGACAACCCATGTGAAATGTTGGATAACAGCAATTACTATTAATCAGATTTAATTGATTTAGGAGAGAATGTGATATGGAGTTTTACAAAGTGTTGAATTACAGTTACTGCGTTTCAGTTGTATAACCTGTTATAACCTATATCACAGGTTTAATAAATTAAGGCATCCAAGAGATTTTGGAACTGGACTAGTAACCGAGGCAGCAATTCAAATCCCATCACAGCAAACTGTAAATTTGGCTTCAATTAATCTGATTTCTTGGGTGCCACTCCAAAAATATGTAAAAACTGATTAAGTTCACTGTGGCCACCAATAATATTCAAGTCAGGGACCTTTCATTCTCTCCAGGTCTGATCGTCATACTGTTCCATTCTCGTACTCTTTTACACTGAGTAGATTGTGCTGATTATTGGTCATTATCAAGAATATTCGGAGTTGTAAAATAACTACAGCAGATAAAAATGCAACTACTCATAGAATGTCAAAGCAGGCGGTGAGTTGTACACAATGGAGCTGTTAAGCTGAATTGCAGTTATTGCACTTTTATTTTCCAGAAAACTGAAGTAATCGAGGAAGCCTTTGCTGGGTGAGTGCACAATTTCACTTTTCTAGCTGTTTTGGTCCGTAACTAATGACACTGGGACCTACTGCAAAGATAAATATTTTGTCAAATGGACCCTATTTAAGTTGCGTTTTTATAAATGGCAAACTAGTGAAATGATGCCCTGAAATAAGTTCAATTAAGTTAAAATAGCAACCCAGCACAAACATGTAACATTTTAATCTTTTGCGTCTGTTTTCCTTAATTCTCCCATAAACTGCTCTTCCACATGGACAGAGATTATCTGTGGCAAAGAGGTTTGATTTGATTTGATATATTATTTTTACATGTACCGAGATACAGTGAAAAGTATTGTTTTGCGTGCTAATCAAATAAATTGTACCTTACATCTGGGTAATAAAGCAGAATGCAGCATATAGTGTTATAGCTACAGAGGAGGCAGAGAAAGATCAACTCGAATGTATGAGAGGTCCATTCGTAAGTTTGATAACACTGGGGAAGAAGCTGTTCTTAAATCTGTTGGCCCATGTTTTCAAACTTTTGTATCTACTACCTGACGGAACAGAGTACAACCAGGGTGGGAGGGGTCTTTGGTTATGTTGGCTGCTTTCCTGAGGCAGCAGGATATATAGATGGAGTCAACGGATGGAAGGCTGATTTTCATGAAGGCCTGGGCTACACACACAACTTTCTAATTTTTTGAGGTCTTGGGCAGAGCAGTTGCCATACCAAGCTGTGATGCATCTGGATAGGATGCTTTCTGTGGTGCATCTATAAAATTTGGTAAGAGTCATTGCGAACGTGCCAAATTTCCCTAGCCTTCTGAGTAAGTAGAGGCATTGGTGTGCTTTCTTGACTGTCATGTTGACAAGGATGGACCAGACTAGATCATTGGTGATCTTTACTCCTAGGAACTTGAAGCTCTCGACCACCTGCACTTCAGCACCATTGATACGGATAGGGGTGTGTCTTCCACTCCGCTCCCTGAAGTTGATGACTAACTCCTTTGTTTTGCTCACATTGAGAGAGAGATTATTGTCTTTACGCCATGCCGCTAAGCTGTCTATCTCTTTCCTATACGCTGTGTCATTGTTGTTTGAGACCTGACTCTGGTGTTATCAGCAAATTTGTAAATAGAGCTCGAGCTGAATTTAGCCCCATGATTGTGAGTATATAAGGAGTATAGTAAGAGGCTGAGTACTTAGACTTGCGGGGCACTGTGTTGAGGATTATTGTGGAGGAGATGTTGTCACCTATCCTTACTAATTTCAGTCTGTGAGTCAGGATGTGGAGGATCCAGTTGCAGTAGGGGAGCAGAATCCTAGGTCTTGGAGTTTGGAGATGAGTTTTGTTTGAATTATCGTGTTGAAGGAGGAGCTAAAGGCAGTAAATAGGGGTCAAGTCCTTGTTTTCCAGATGTTCCATGGATGAGCATAGGACCAAGGAGATGGTGTCTACTGTAGACCTATTGTGATGGTAATTGGATTGTAGTGGATCCAGACAGTCTGGGAGGCTGGAGTTGATGTGTGCTACTACTAACCTCTCAAAACAGTTGACCATATACTCAGTCCAGTCTTATTTACATACACAGCCATGAGCTGTTGGATAATAGTCAGGTGTGAAAACACTAATTCTTTCCTTTCTGAGTGAAGAACTCTGCCACTTTTTCCTCCACAGCTGTTAGCTAAATAAGATCAGTTGAAGTGCGGGTTATTGATGACACTTACAGATGGGACGACACAGTGGCTCAATGGTTGGTACTGGTGCCTCACAGTGCCAGGAACCCAGGCTCAATTCCACCCTCAAGCGACTGTCTGAGTGGAGTTTGCACATTCTCCCCATGTCTGCAGGGTTTTTCCAGGTGTTCTGGTTTCCTCCCACAATCTAAAGATGTGCAAATTAGGTGGATTGGCCGTGCTAATTTGCCTATAGTGTCTGGGAATATATAGGTAGTTGGGTTAGCTGTGGGAAACATAGTGATACAGTGATGGGGTCTGTGTGGGATGCTGTTCGGAGGGTTCATATGGACTTGGGGGCGGCGGGGCGGCACGGTAGCACAGTGGTTAGCACTGCTGCCTCACAGCGCCAGGGACCCGGGTTCAATTCCAGCCTCGGGCGACTGTCTGTGTGGAGTTTGCACATTTTCCCCCTGTCTGTGTGGGTTTCCTCCGGGTGCTCCGGTTTCCTCCCACAGTCCAAAGATGCGCAGGTTAGGTGGGTTGGCCATGCTAAATTGCCCATAGTGTTCAGGGAGGTGTAGATTAGATGGGTTATAGGGGGATGGGTCTGGGTGGGATGCTCTGAGGTTCAGTGTGGACTTGTTGGGCCAAAGGGCCTGTTTCCACACTCTAGGGATTCTATGATGGGCCAGAAGGCCTGCTTCCACACTGTAGGGATCCTAAGAACATTACAGTTTTCTCTGGAGGGTCAGTTTTGCAGATTGGAGTTCAGTTCCTTTATTATGTTATTGGAATTAAGTCGGTTTTTCACTTTTTCCTCATGTAATTTTGATGATGGTATGTCAGTTTAGCATAGCTAGTCATCTTTTGGACTCCAGAATTAACCTTATTGGCTCAAAGTGAGCCTCTAAGAATATAAGAGCAGAAGTAGGTCATTCAGCCTGTACTGCCACTCAGTACAATCAGGGCTGATCATTTGCTGGAGTCCCATTTTACTACTGTATTCCCTTATCTCATTGGTATTTAGAAATCTGTCAATTTCTACTCAGTCATTGAGCTTATATGGTTGGGTTAGAGAGTTCCAAAGATTCATAATCCGTTGAATTAAAAAAAAATTCTCCTCATTCCAAAGTGGCTCACCCCTTTATTTCAAAATTGTGTTCTTTGGTTCTGGACTCCTCAACTGGAGAAACAGCTTGCCTAGTTTTAGCTATTTTATATGTTTAAATGAAATCACCCCTGATTCTTCAAAACTACAGATTGTGGGCACAATTTCCTCAGTCTGTTGTTTTACGACTGCCCCAACATCCCAGGAATATGTCTGGTGAATCTTTATTGCAATCCCTGTGTGGTAATAATATCATCCCTAAGGTACGGGAGCAAAACAGACTGTACTTCAGGGGTGTAACAAGGTTCCATGTACAACTGAAGCAAGACTTTGCTATTCCTGCATTCAAATCCCCTTATGAAAACGACCTACGTTAGTTTGCCTTATTGCTTGCTGCACCTGCATGTTAGCCTTCAGTCACGTACTGACAAAGCCACCTACATCCCTTAGAACATCTAGACTTTATGAGCCCTTGCCATTTAAGAAATACTACGCACATCAGTTATTCCCACCAAAGTGGATAATCTCATTTTTCACGTTTTATTTCTTCAGCCATGTTCTTGCCTACTAAGTCTGTCTAAATCTCTTGAAGCCACACAGCCCACATTCCCATCTAGCCTTATATCATCTGAAAACTTGAAAATATTACATTTGTTCCCCAAGTTAAAATCATTTATATATATATTGTCAGTAGATGGGAACCATACATTGCGGATCCTTGTGATAGTGTACTAGTCACAGTCGGCCAACATGGGATGAACTTTTATGCCTACTCTGCCTGCCTGTTAACCAATCCTTAATCTATGCTATTACATTACCACCGGTTCAATGTGCTTTCATTTTGTCAACGAACCTCCCTTGAGGAACTTTATCCAAAATTCTTTTGAAAATCCAAGTATACTATGTCTGCTGACTTCTTTTTATTAGTTCTCTCTGCTACTGATATGAGGACTTCTTAAATAATGACATATGATGCTTTCCAATGTGCAGGAACCATTCTGGAATCTATAAAATTTGGAAGACAACCTCAATGCACCCACTATCTCCACAGCTGCATCTTGCAACATCCTTGGATGCAGAGTGTCTGGTCCCAGGGACTTTTCAACCTTTAATTTCATTAATTTCTCCAAAATAACTTTTTTTATTGATACTCACTTCCTAAATCCTTCATTCTTTCTAGGTCCTTGGATCTTCAATTCTTAGGGATGTCTAGTATCTTCCAAAGTAAAGTAAAGATGAACACAGTATAATCATTTAGCTTTTCTGCCATTTCTTTTCTCCCCATTATAAATTCTTTGACTTTTTTCCCGGTACGTTTAGAAGCTTTAATGATTTTTAAAAATTGTGTTTTTGCTAGTTTACTTTCATATTCTATTTTGTTCCTTAGTTTCTGGGTCATCCTTTGCTGTATTCTAAAATCCTCCCAGTTTTTGCATATGCTGCTATTTCGGACAAATTTATAGGTCTTTCCTTTTAAACTTATACAATTTTTCACTTTGTTTGATAGCCCCAGTTAATGGACATTTTTGGGTTTTTTTGTGCCTTGAAGGAATGTGTAGTTGTTGTAAAATATATTGTAATTCTTTAAGACTATCCATTGCCTGCAAATGCCTGTGTATTGTCATATTTACTAATGTATTTTCCTAATCAAACTCGCACCTTCTCAATTTCCTTTAATAGGCTTTAGATTGAACTAGCTCACTTTCAAATATAATGTAAAATTGTACCTCATTATGGTCACTTAACCCTAAAATTTCTTTTATAACAAGTGTATTAATTACCCCTTTTTCCTTATGTAATACTAGACTTAGCATGGTCTATTCTGTAATCAATTTCTCAACATAGTGCTCTTAAAAACTGCTGAACACATTGCAAAAGTTCAACCTCCACAACATTACTGCTTAATAGCTTTAACCAGATTTACCTGTGGTTACTGTATTCTTCTTGCTACGTGCTTCTCTAATCTCCTGATTAATACCATGAACCACACTAGCAGTTGGCAATCTCTAAACAACTCCCTGCAATGTTTATAGTTTCTTGTTTCATAGTTCAATCCAAAACAGATTTCACAATTTGTTTTTCTGATCTGAGATTATCCCTCTCTATCAATGCAATACCGTCTCCTTTTGCTTTTTTGACCTTCCTAAATATTTAATATTTAGTTCCCAGTCTTGGTAACCTTGCAACCAGAGGTCGGTTTAGCTCAGTTGGCTAGACAGTTGGTTTGTGAATTAGTGTGATGCCAACTGTGTCGGTTCAATTCCCATTACTGGCTGAGGTTACCATGAAGGACTCTCCTCCTTAGCCTCTCCTCTCACCTGAGGTATGATGGCCCTCAGGTTAAATCACCACCAGGCATTTCTGTCTAATAAGAGCAGCCCTATGGTCTAGTAAGGCTATGATGACTTGTTGACTGCTGTGGCGGTTAGATCTTTAACTGCACAAAAGATCTAGAACAATATAGATGATTTAGAATGTCTTTTAGTTTGTCTTTTTAGACTGGGTTATAATGTCAAACTTAGTTGCTCACCAGCCTTCTGATTTCACTTGCTATGTTTCTACTTCCTGTTACCAGTTTTATTTCTATCCAATTTGTGACCCCCTCAGATTCCCATTTTTCTTTGTAAGCTTACTTAAACTCTCCCAACAGCACTAGCAAATCACCCTGTGTGGTTATCAATCACATTCCTGTTAAAATGTGACCTGTACAACTTGACTGGTCTCACCTGCCCCTGAACTGACCCCAGTGCCAGGAAAGATGGATGTTTTTCCCCCCATACCAATTAAGAACATAGAACATAGAACATTACAGCGCAGTACAGGCCCTTCGGCC